AAAACGTGGTTTATGGTTCACTATTAAATTATTTATTACAACTAGTCTTTCTTTTCTTCTTTTTTAAATTAGATTAATAGTGTTCAAAAGCGGCGAATATTAAATCTATCTTTCTACGTTTATTATTACAACAAACTTTGTAAGTGATTTTAAACTGTATGCATTGAATAATTCACGATCATTAGCTGTATGCATATTACGGTCTCCATGTTCAGCTTGATGTTTAGTTATGTAACCCAACGCGCGAATCCCACGCTGTTGATCGAGGTCACCAGTGTACTAGCCACCTGTGGCCATAAACAAAGCTAGTATTTGTGATCGCGTATAATGTCAATTTTGTACAAAGAGCTATTAATTAATGGAAAGTTATGTTTTCAATTATATCGAATCAGTAAGACTACTTTACCGATCTTTTATAATCTTAATTCCAAACACTGATGCATAAAAATCATTTTGAATTTTAATCGCTGTTTTTGTCTGTTCACGCAACAATACATTTAAAAAAGAAAGTATTGCTCTATCCCGTGTTGTTGTATTTTAATTCATCTGCAATTGTAATTGAATGGGGGCTTCGATAAATTATTGTAATTACTACGCATGCTACGCACATATTATTTTTACCATCACTCTTGTGAATGTCCATTTATTATTTATAAAATTAAATAAACATTAACATAAATAAAAAATCCTTCAAATATACATGTACTATAATTCAAGTCTTTGTAATATAGCAAACAGTTTCATCACTTCACCGACTTAACCACTAGGTTTGCAACAATTTATTTTTCTGTCTCATGTTTTAAACTGCATGTACACATGCATAATAATTGTAAGTGGAGGTGAGTCAGGTGACGTTTTCAATTCTCGGGAAAATCGAAAATTAAATTAATCACTTCTAAGTTTGCATTATTTGCTACCAAACTTATAATTGTATTGTACAGAATGATATACTTATGCATTTCTTTTATTTCGTCGAATAAACAGAATATCCCAATACACGATTTTACGGATACATGCTTGTAAGTACATGCAGTTTTACATGGAAGAGCGCCCAAACTAAATACATCCTAAGCTTTCAGAATACACGTGATTGTGTACAAAGCAAATGGGTAATTCACAGATAAGGAAAAACAGAAAAAACATGTCTCCATAAATTAAATACACAATCGCAATGATGTTTTGATTGATCAGCATACGGTTTTTTATCCTTCGTCCATGCATTTCGACTATACGGAAAAAGATCCGATTCAGTAAAATTATAGCAAACGAGGTTGAAAATTGTCGGACTTTTTATCCAAATTAAAAAAAAAAGTGTTGGTCCTTTGAATGGCAATATATCCGAATAGTAATTAAACAGCTTATCAAATATATCACGGCGTCCATATAAGGATGAAACTTTGTTTGGTAAATAAAGTGGTTCTTACAAATATGTCACAAATCTTAAACATCTAAATAATTATTTAATTTTTCTAACAAATACTAATTTGGTTCTAAGAAAGCTACGCAGTTGTATGCAAATATTCCAAAATAATCTTTCATGTTTAATGGACTGACAGGTGATCAAATTTCCTCTAATCACGATACGTACCCCCCCCCCCCCCCCTTAAAAGAATACAATGTTTTTCTTTAGAGCCGAAAATGTCAATCGGTTGGTTTGTTCAGGTACGTATACATATAGGTGAGGGCTGGTGTTGAATTCCGAGAGAAATCCACAACCTACATGTATTTTAAAGTAAACCAATAATCATACGCGACATTTGTTATTCGCGAATCGTCAAATGAATGAAAAACAAGGTCTGCAACGATTAATATCTGTGACTAAGCTTTCCTATTTTATAAACTTTTTAAGGTCTTTTATTTTATTTCTAAAACTTAAAAAATGTAACGATTTAATGTGTTCATTGGAGTGGTCAATTGCACATTGCATGAGCATCGAAGTGTGTACTAATAGTTTCTTTGGGTGGGGGGAGGTACCATTTTCGGTGCATTTGATTTCCGGAATTTTGCATTGCACATCCGACAATTAATAAATTTCACTTTTAAAATTTATTATTTTCATTCCGGATTTTTTGACTATATTTCCAGCAATTTAATGTTAACAAAATAGATGGAATTAAAATTTTAATAGGATATAAATGGTGAATGGCTGAAAATTTATACATTTTATAATGTACATGGTACTTACGGCCTTTGAGCAGTAAGGGCCGATGGAATACGGAGAAAAAGATCAGCATTCCACAGGTAAAATGTTAAGGAAAAATGTACTTTTCCTTTGTGGAAAAAAGTGAAAGAGAATAATCTAAATGTGGAGACCACACTCTCTTTATTTGATACATATGTAGGTTCTGTTCTTCATTATGGATGCGAGATGTGGGGATTTCATAAAGCCCCACATGTTGAGCAAGTACATATTAGCTTTTTGAAGAAAATTATGTCGCTTCGAAAATCTACAAATAACTTAATGGTTTATTTCGAATTTGGTAGATGCCCAATGTATGTTCAAAGAAAACTTCGAGTTCTGAAATATTGGTGTAATTTGCTCAATACAAATAATTGCATTCTGCGGACATGTTATAAACAATTGTTATGTGAGTATGAAGAACAACAGGAAAATTATACAAACTGGTTAAGTGCAGTTAGAAAGCGTTTTTAAAACGCTATTTGGTTTGAGTGATAAAATCCTTTAAAAAGAATATTGATGACAACCTTAATTCATCTGGAAAATCTGCAGCAAAATTTAAATTCTAATGAGTCGATTTCGACTTCTTTATCAAAATTTTCCCGAACTTTTCCGTAGACCTCTGGCTTTTCCCTAAATTCTGTAACACTCGGAAAACGAGAGTTATCCGCTAGGTGTCGTTTCTGCATCACTTCCGTATAATTTCTACTTTGACATTTCCAACTCTTACATTTTTTACGTTTGGCGATGAATACGCGGATTATTGTGGAATGCATAGGCAATTAAATAGCACGATTAAAGACAAAAAATGTCTACCGATACAAGATATAATAACATATTTTGGTGACATATGGTAGGTATAATATTTTAGGCCCGATATCCAAGAGTTTTCATATGGAATACATTGTAAATGTGTACTAGAAGATTAATTTATGGAAAAAGACAAATAAAAAATATTCTTGGACCCAGGGTGTATATGGGGGGGGGGGGGGGGCTGGCCACAAGCACCTGTGCAGCATTCAAGCTTAAAAGTCCATTCAAACAATACAAATCAGGAGCAGTGCAAATCTTTTGAAATCGGAGGTAGAATCAAGTGCCATGGATCTGTCATGTTGTAAATTTTGAACTTACCGGTTGTCAGTAAATACAAAATTTACATGTCATGTCGTAAATTTTGTATTTACTGCCACCCGGCAAATTCAAAATTTATAACATGAGAGATCATTTTCATGCTAGCACTTACCCCGACACGAGACTTTATACGGTCTCATCCAAAGGACTGATCTCCACGTTATCCAAACTGGATATAAAACATTATCAATGAATTTCTAAATCATTGTGTTCAGTTGAACCTAACAAATTATTCCAACTCGCTGTATGGTCTGAAAAAACATGGCTGAACTTATCCATTCAGACACCCACAGATTGGGATTGCTCTTAACCAGAGTGTGTTATGGCCAAGGTCATTTGGTCGAGTCAAGGTCACTGAGAGAGAAACTGTAATTTCGCTACCGTATTTGTGTACTAGTGAAACATTGCTGGTATCATGCAGAGTGTGACATGGCCTTGACTCAAGTTCAAGGTCACTAAGGATAAGATGTTTTGACTGTATGTATGGACTAAAAGAACATGACGTGTCACTGTGAACTTTTCAAGTCGGTAACACACAGATTGGGTTTTATGACGAGAGTGTGTCATGGCTTGACGCAAGGTCATTTGGAATGTTCAAGGTCACATACATTCCTTTACTGTTTTTCCTAGCGAAATATTGTAAGTTGCTTCCCCTTACAAGATTGCTTACATGTAGAACTTTAGAATGTGGCATGACCTTGACTCAAGGTCACTTCTTTCTTCCGCAGCTCCAACGGAAGACCTATTCGTTGCTTTGCAACGAGCTCGCTCTAGTTTATACCAATTATGCTGTTTTCAATAGAACCTAATGATAAGAAAATGTTTGCTACTTCTCTTATTTATCACAGAATTTATGATCAGATGATGCAGCCATGCAGTTCTCACACATATCAGACTTTACAGACATGAATATTAATTTAATATACCCAAACTTTACATATGCAGTTTATGATATCCTGGAACATTTCTTGCATGTTTACTACTTTCAACTATGAATACAATGTACTTTAAGTTAGTGGATTTTTTTTTCTTATAAAAAATTGTCCATCCCAAACTAACAAATGAAATAGTATAAATAATATACAGTAAGGCCAAAAAAAATAATAGTCTTGTTTCCTGCTACCCGACCTACCCTATTTTTTAGCCCCCGACCCTAAAGTTTTTTTTAAGTTTTGGAAGAAAAAAAATCGGGAATTTTCAGAATTTCATTGTTCTGTCACCGTAATCAGTTTCCTTGTTAACACAAATGAAGCATTTCATGAAATTCTTGTTTCAAATATGGACTTTCATAAAATACCACTTGAGTTGTGCATAAAAAGACATGAAATTTAATTTTAAAAGACAACGTTGACCTGTGACGTTTAATTTGATCTTGTATTAGTTCATATCCAAAAAATGCTGTCGGAAAAAAATAAAATAAAAATATAAAATAAAATAATTTTCCTACCTACCTACCCTATTTTTTTCAGGCCGGTAGCAGGAAACAAGACTATTATTTTTTTTGGCCTAACATTGCAGGCATCAATCTGTAATATTGAAATAATTTATTTAAGACCTCTGTCAATGTAAACACAATTTACAGTGATGTTTTGCATTTTTGTTTGAGAGAATATATAATTAATTTACATATGGTAAATTGATTGTTATATGTTAATATTAAAAGTAACTAATTTTTTGCTTTGTCTATTTCAGGTTTAAGTACATGTTGAACAGCCTTCTCCATAAAACGGTATGAAAAAAAAAAAACACAATTAATAATATAAAGTCATGAAGAAATAAAAAAAATATTAAATTTAGAAAATCTATATTATGTTATTTATGTAGCATAAAAAATGTGACATCATTTCAGGGCTAAAAATGATTATTTTCTTTCACTGGTCACTCTAGGGCTATCACCTTAAATTTTTTCCTGGTCAGCTCTGAGTACTTCAACTGTCCCACAGGGCCAGTAGATTTTAAAAAGACTGGCCCAAAACCATAAAGAAAATAATAGTGATACATTTTTTGTTTATATTGTGATACTTAGTAGTTTAATTTAACAAAACAAGAAAAGACAGAACTTTGCCTGACAAGTTTAGTTACTATCCCAACCATAAATGAATTTTGTTACATGTATACATAATAAACAATGACCCAATGGACACATGCCCTCACAATGTACTAGCCTAAATTAAAAATACATTAATTGGCCCCAGCCCAGTAGGCCATTAATTATTTCGAGCCCTTCATTGTAAATTTGTAACTTATTATAATTCAGTAAGTTGGCTTTTGCAACAATCTGTGCTTTTTTTTGTATGTTTTTTTTAAATGATATGTCCATCCGCACCAGTGATGATCCCACACAAATTACACACACAAGAAAATAATTTTATTTCATTAAAAAAAAATAAATGGGCTTTACAGATTTATCTTTTTTGATTTTTTAAGAATGACATGTTGGTTGAATTTGAAAATGAACTTCCATGTGCATGGTGCTGTAATGCACATAAATCATAAATGAGAATTTCATTCTAAAAAATACCAAATACATGTATAAAAATAAATAAATCTAATCAAATTATTATTTGGAATGTACGTTTCTTGCAGGATATTCTGAAGACAGTGATGACATGAAAGTTCAAGATTTGCCTATTGTGAGCATTGTAAGGATAATTTTATAACATATTATATGTGACATTATTACATGTATTTAGTTGTTATGCCTGATTGGAAGAAACAAAGAAAGGATATTTTAATTTTGCTCAGTTGCACCAATATCTGTTATACATGTGTATCTATGTAAAAAAATCCTGTGGATAATTTGTCAGACAGAGAGATAGAGAGAGGGAGGGCTTTTGATAATTGAAAATCATGCATCCGTTACTTTTTTAACTTTGTTCAAATGATTTATTCACATTCTGTTTTTTTTCTCTTTCAGCAGATACCTCGGTAATACAGAATGGGTCAAAAAAATGCACAAAGGTTAATCACATCATGCTGCATTGTAGTGAGTTTATATGCAGAGAAATTTACCATTAAATGAGACTTTTAAAAAATAGAAATAAACTGTAAAACACACTTGGCTGTATGTTTATGCAAACAATTTTTTTGAACTGCAAATTATACCAATACATGATTCAGCATATTCTGCACACTTAAAATGATTTACATACATGTATTTGTTTGATTTGCAAGTAGTGCAATGCAATTTGTCAGTATTGTTCATTCATGCAGTTCTCTTGGTGATCTAACTGCAAATACATGCATTTATATTTTATTTGTACAAATTAAGTTAAGAGGATTGTATTAATGTAATATTCATATTTGTATTTCAGCTGTAACAGAACAATTTATCTGATGCAAGCATCAACCATGAGAATAACAAAGGAGGGTAGGTCCAAAGAGAAGGTATGTTTATAAGTGGTGATGATATGTTATTGATGTAAATAGATTATAGCAATTAAATAGAAAGAACAATTGTAATTTTGCCAGTCAGAAAAAAACAAAATGAAAATTTTTTTTAGCTCAACTGAGTCGAAGGCTCAAGGCATAGGGACTTGAGACAATCTTAGCAAAATCGGGTATATAGTATAAAAGGGCTCCCCTATTATACTATAGCTATATACCCGATTTTGCTAAGATTGTCTCAAGTCCCTGTGGCTCAAGGTAGCTTTTCTGATGAAAATTTGTCTGTTGTCTGTCGTTGTTGTCATTGTAAACTTTTCACATTTTCATCTTCTTCTCAAGAACCACTGGGCCAATTTCAAACAAACTTGGCACAGATTATCCTTGGGTAAAGGGGATTCAAGTTTGTTCAAATGAAGGGCCACACCCTCTTTCAAGGGGAGATAACTAAGAAATAGTGAAAATTGGCTGTATTTAAAAATCTTCTTCTCAAGAACCGGAGGGCTAGAAAAAAAAATTAAATTTAAGTGAAAGCTGCTTGACAAAATGTAGATTCAGGTTTGTTCAAATCCCCAGGGGTAGGGTGGGGCCATAATAACCGATCAAAGTTTTACATAGAAATATATAGGAAAAATTCTAAAAAATCTTCTTCTCAAGAACAGCATAGCCATGATTGATGATTTTCATATGGAAGCATCCTCAGGTAGTGTAGATTCAGATTTGTTCAAATCATAACCCCAGGGGGTAGGGTGGGGCCATAATAAAGCCAGTCAAAGTTTTACATAGAAATATATAGGAAAAATTCTTAAAAATCATCTTCTCATGAACAGTAAAGCCATGATTGGTGATATGTATATGGAAGCATGCATCCCCAAGTGTTAGTCAAGGTAGTGTAGATTCAAGTTTGTTCAAATCATGACCCCTCGGAATAAGTTGGGGTCATAATGGCCAATCAAATTTTACATAAAAATATATAGAAAAATCTTTTAAAATCTTCTTCTCAAGAACAGCAAAGTTATATGCTATATGGATATTGAGGCAACCTCAAGTAGTTTAGTAGTATAAAATCCCCCCCCCCCCCCCCTGTAAACTTTTCAATACTGAACTGATTTGTGCTTTTTCCTAGCCGATGTGCTCAGGTGAACACATGGGCCTCTTGTTAAAGTCTTAATTCTTGTCAAGAACAGACAGGTCATGATAAGTCATTATACTCATATTATCTTGCTAGCATCCTCTGAGATAGTGCAGAGCAGATTCAGATTTTTTCGAACCATATTCCCTGTGGGTAGTGTAGGGCCACAGTGGGGAATCAAAGTTTTATTCTGAAATATTTAGGGTAAAAGCCTTTTAAAAGTCAGGCCCACCATAAATCATATTATTATGCATGAATAAATTCATCTTAGGAAAGAATCCCATAATCCAGGGTTAAGGATGGGCCATAATTAGGGGTAAAATATTTATCTGGAAATAGTTAAGGAGGGGGGGATCTTATGTAAATATTGGAAAATCCTTTTTGTTCATTTCATGGATCTTAGGCTAAGAGGGGGCTAAAATAAGTTTTCATAATTTTATTTCCAATTTTAAGGAGACTTAAGTTTGTTTTTTATCTTTCTGTCTTTCAATTAATCTTTAAACATCAAACTAGTTGCAACTTAAAATAGCTGGTTATGAATAATCAACAGAGCTCACAAACTGTATGTGGTTAAAATATCTACAAATATCAGAGAAAGGAAAACAATATTTTGGGGCATAGAAAAGGGGCTTAACTCCTATCATTACAACACGTGAAAAATGTGTGTTGTTGAGAAACATTTGAATATAGTGCAGTCTAATTAAGTACAGCTAAACTTCAGTATCTTAAAATCAAACAATTTCGACTACCTGGGGTATGTTGACATTCATCATTATTACCTAGATAAATGATTTGCTAACACTTGGAAATGCATATGATTTATTTATATTTAATTGGTTTATTTTGTACAAATCTTTTTCTCATGCATATTATTTATGAACATTATTATACCTCTACTGATTTTTTCCCTGTATAACATTAGATCGTTAGATGTGACTATTTCCATAGAAATTGTTAAGAATGGACTATGGACCAATCCCCAAGTGTTAGTCAAGTGAGCTAATCCCTGCTTCGAAAGCTAATTCCCGGTTATCCATAATCCTCTAGGTTTTACTTTAACATTGGTATATGTGAATGGACTAATCCCATGTGTTAGTTCAGTGAGCTAATCCCTGCTTTGAAATCACGCTATCTGAATCCTCTAAATTTTACGTTTGTATCGGTATAATAAAACAGTTAAAAGTATATCATTGAGGGAGTTAGCAAAATTCCAGTTCCCCTCGACTAGGACTATTTCCCTCGGCTTCGCCGTGGGAAGTAGTCCTGGCCTTGGGGAACTGGAATCTTGCTAACTCCCTCAATGAAATACTTTAACTGGATAATAATAAATTGATTTTGCATCTATATATGGCATATACTACTATTCCAATAACAGCATGTAACTTTGTTTGATAAAGCATGCAGTTTCCCATGTTGATCACCATATTTTTCATTGATTTGACATTTAATTTCAATAATAAGAAATACTATTTTGCACATGAACAGAGAAGCCGACAATGGTTTTGACTGACCATGTGTTGTTGCTTATTACAAATGCTGTCATTGTAAACAATCATTCAATGCGACTGCTCAGTATTATCAGTGTGTTGCTGGATTCTCTATTTCATATGCAAAGTAGTATTCATTTCAATGAAATTTAACATCCAGTCAATGAGAAATATGGTGTTCAACATATGAAACTTAAGCGTGCTTGATCTAACAAAGGGGCACGCTGTTACTAATATGATAATATGATTTTTTTTTATACTCAGTTTAGGGTTCAACTTTGGTATCTCGAACACTGAGTGATATCTTGATCACTATGGAGATGTCAAAGTCATTTTGAAGTCCCTTGAACCACATTTGTCTTCTTTGTATGTTACCCTCAAGCTCTCAACCCCTTGAATATCTCAAAGTTTTTCATCGGTCCCATTGAGTTCAAGATAATAAGGCTTGACTGTATTATATTGATTCAAATTAATGGATGATGCATTATAAATAAAGCAATCTTATATATTATTGCATTTATATTTTCCAGGCAATGTAACAAATGATTGCTGAATTCATGAGGATTGGGATGAATCTTTTCTATTCTTAAGAAGAGTCCAAACATCATTTGAGGATCCCTTCCTAAGAAAAGAAGAATTTGCCTATTCAGAGAGTCCATAGTTTACAAAATATTATGTAACATAAAACTTCTGTCTTCATATTTTATTCAATTATAAAACAGTAGTAGAATATGTTTAGAAAAAAGTAGGGGGCTATAACTATCTCTCTCTGGTACTGCATGTCTAATATACATGTATTACGTATTTTAATTACACATGTATTTTAAAACAGATTATCAGTAAAAGAAAGAAACACAATGTTAGTCTTTCAGTGGCTTTTATTTAGGTTTTAATATTATTTAAAAAAAATGGAACTTGAATCTGTTTAAATAGGAAGGAAAACAAAAAACTAGAATTCAGTAGGTACATGTACATGTATTTAGTTTTGTTTATTATAAGTTGTTTAAAATTTAGGGAGCTTGTGAAGGATATCTAGATATTATTTAAAAATTTATTCTTCATAGTTAAACAATTTAATTTTTATTATAACATATGCTCTGTAATTAACAACTTCATTTGTTGTACAACATTCCATTGTCTGTCAACCTGTAGGAGTTCATTTCTTGTAAATAAAAATGAATACATGATGTTTGTTCACATTGCCATTTTTTTTTTATATACGAGTCCTGAGTTATAAATTTTGTACATACCTGTATGTACATTTTTTGTTAAATAATTTAACTTTAACCAAATATTAATTGAATGTAATTTTGTAGGTAGATACCTTCCAGAAATATTTACATCTACCAGATACATGTGAAATCAAATACTGTATACTTGAAAATAAGGATATTTATTAAATGGAAATTAAGTTACACATTCATGTATAGTGAAATTAGATAGACTGTGTTGTTGTTATGTTTATACTAACTCAACATAAACATCGATTGGATGTGATCCTGATTAATTAAATAAAGGATATGAAACCATAATAATTACTTTCCTTTTTTCTTTTTCTTTTTTTTTCTTTTTTTTTTTTTACAATTAATAACACTTTACAACTTTCAGACTTGATGGATCTAAATTGATAAAAGAAATTGACTATACCATTAAAAAATTCTTGAGTTGTCTCTCTTTGTGGAAATAATTATCTGTTGCAATGAATGCTCCCTTGGGTTCATGACCCTGAATATTGATAAGGTTGGGAGGTGTGATGTAGATAGCCGAGCGGTCTAGCGCGCTGTTCCTGTACTGCTAGGAGACAGATTCCGTAGGTCGAGAGTTCAACCCCGGGCTGGGGCGGAAGTGGGTATCCTGATAAAAGTGAATTTCTTTGTGCTTTATATATATATATATATATATATATATATATATATATATATATATATATATATATATATATATATATACAGATTTCACATACGTCTTATATGTAGGAAAAAATTGGCTTTTTGATTGTTATTTTACATTATTTTTTCAATTCTGGTTTGAAAAGTTTTAATATGAAAGAAATATGAAATAATAAAATTCCCCCCAAATCACTTTTTTGTCCATATAAGTCAATTCTCTAAATCTCAGCCAAAAAAGAATTATACAAGTATTCTTTAAAAATGGGAGTCTTTAAAGTAGAATTGTGAAGCAAAAATTACCTCAGAACTTGTTCCGTTGTTTCAGTGAAGTTGAGGTGCGTTTGCTTGAATTTTATAACAATATTTCAGTGTGTTTATGTTTTACGTTCATAAGAAAAATCAATGAAAAGATAAAAACACATCTGAATTGATAAAACTGAAAAAGAAAAGGGTATAATAATAAAACTGTCAATAATTTAGTGTTAAATTATTCAAATAGATCAATATTAATTAAAGAATATTTCTTAGCATGGATAGCATTCTTTTCATCATATAAATTGAATTTTAAAAAAAATAAATGTGTTGCACTCATGACCATAGAAATATAGATCTGAAACTCAGACCTTTAATTGATAAATCTA